TCTAGTTCATGAGTCACATGCTGGTGCTGTCATTGGCCGTGGTGGATCACATATCAAGGAGCTGCGTGAAAAAACTGGAGCCCAACTTAAGGTTGCTCGTTTTGTGCGTTTTATGTTGCAATAGTTACACAAAGCGCATATGGTTGAGACCTTGGCTGTTTATGCCTTTTCGAGTGCATTTTATTCGGAGGTTTCAATTCAGAGATCAAGAGAAGCTAGGGAGCTGAAAAAATATTTTACGACATGGCCCTTTACCCGAGTGTGATTTCTCAGGTTCAAATTCTTTGTCCGTGCATGCCTATTCCTCACGCTCGGTCACGTGAAAATTTTGGCACCTAAATCAATGACCCAGGAAACTCTGAAGATATGAAGTTGAAGTTATAGAGGGAGTGTTCATTGGCCGGAAACATTCTAAAACCCTGTGAAGTTTAGATTCAGCCTTCATTTTCTCTTGGGCTTCACATGCGGACACATAGAAATTTTGCCACGAAAATTACTAGCTCGAGAAACTGGGAAGCTGGGAAGCTGGAATTTTAGGGAATGTTCCTTTCCTGGGCATGGCCCCTCAAACTCAAATTCAGCTTTTCCCCATGCATAAGTCCCACGTAGGGACACATGAAACTTAGGGAGCTAAAATTAATAATTCGAGAGCCATGAAAGCTAGTAAGCGGAAAAATAATGCTCTCACCCACATATAAATTCAGACCCTTCATACGCTTCGGTCTCAGGCATGAATATGTGAAACATTTCGCGCCAAAATTAACTCGGGGACGAAAAAAACGAGGAGGTCTAGTAATTCTTCCTTTTGGAATAATAATGCTTTCTTTTAAAATTTAGAATAATGCTTTCTGACCGCATATTCATTCATCCTCACATACACCTAAGTTCCATGTATCGACAAGTGGAAGTTTTGGCGCCAAATCTGACAACTCGGAAACTAAAAAGACTAAGAGGCTGAGTTTTAGAAGAATGTTCCCTGCCCGTCCTCACAGATTTGAAATCTGCCTTCACGTGCGCCTCGGTCTCACATGTTGGCGCATGAAAGTTTTGGCGCGAAAATCACTAACTCAGAAAACTAGGGTGATGAAATTTCAGAATAATGCTCCCTGCCCGCGTTTAAATTACTCCTTGTGAATGTCTAAAACTCAGGACGGAAAAGTGGAAGTTTTGGCGCCAAAGTTAACTTGGGAACCTCAAGGATTTCCGTGGTGTCAAGTAGTAATGCATTGGACATTTTTAACAACAAAGATCCCTTGGACAGAGTTCCATATTCGCCAGCTGGTTGCGGTTGCATAAGGCGCATGAGTGCATCAGCTACTCTAGCGCGCCGTTGTTTATTTCTCTTGTGTGGTTGATCTGTTTTAGACAAACTGCGTAATGAGTACTCCACGTCAGTAGTGGTCCTAAAGGGCTCTAAAAGGCCCTCACGGGTATACATTTTAGCCATAAGCAGTTGCGATTGCTTGGACGGCTGTTGAATAGGCACATGCAGATTTGCTCATTTTTTGTTCAGGGCGAGTGCCAGCTTCCCATCTTCCCTCGGCAGCTGAGTTTCGTTCTTCGATGCGTGAGATTTGGAGTTATTAAAATGTGCAAGTTTTTCAAAAATTCGTTTTTTTAAGGTTTTCCCACGCACTGCACCGCAGTCTTCTGAGAGACTTGTACTGCTGAATGGCGAAGTGAACAGTATAGTGGATTGTATCGCCATAATCATCGACGTTCTGAAAGAGGTAATTGCTGCTGTTGATATACATTTATTTATGATGTGCTGACTGGCTCCGACGAATTTCCTGCCAGTCATTTCACTTGGATTAAGTGCATAGCTTAATTCCTGGATTCAAATTCAGAGCCAAGAGCACCTTCATACTTTGTTTTAAAAGGCAGAGGCACATTGGAAAGATAGAATTTAAAGTATTGTCAACAGGAGGCACCTAAGAGTTGTTTTAAAGCATGCTAATTTGCATGAGTGCATCACTTCTAGTTTTCCATCGTTTTGAATCTAAGACTAATAGGGATGTTCGAAGTCGAGCTAAGTGTACACGGCACATAGAATGCTTAGAGATGGTTTGGAGCAATTTATGGACTATGCTTGGTCGTGCTATAGTGATTTGATATTTATGCTGCTTTTTGAATCCCGCTGTTCGTTCATTTATGTATTTTC